CCCAAATCAAACTGCGCCCAGGCCTAATTGAAAACATAGAAGTTAAAAGGGATAATTGCAGTAACGATCACTAACCTATTACTTTTTTTTTTTTTTGCAAACTTTACCATAATATTCTCTTTGTACCAACCATAATCTCAAACCTTAAAAAAATTCACAACTAGGTTTCAAATGGATGGAAACCATCAATCTTGTCGTTAGTTGACCAAAAAAGTCTAAATTTGATCAATTTTGACCAATTTTATAAGAATAGTACTTTACATTTTTCCATATTAAATTTTGAAATTATATATATAAACCCACCTTCATTTCCATTCCACCCACCTAATCAAAACTAGAAAACCATCCAGCCACCACCGCTACCACAACTCTCAGAAGTCTTCCATTTCCAATTTTTTTTTACCGCCGTTCGATCGAGGAAGCACCTTTTGACTGCTTCCCTTTCCAATTTCTTCACTGTCATCCGATCAAGGAAGCGATTTTAACTGTTTCCCCGCAATTTCTTCACTACTCATCTAGATCTCGCTTTGAATCTAGATGACAGTTCCATTTACTCCTATGTCCCTCGCCACAACTGCCATTGCCTTCTCAAATACTCCCAAAATCCAACTTCCATGCCCACCATTTTCAAGCCATTTGTTGATACCCTTAAAATAACCATCAAACCCTCTAATTCCCTCAAACAATTATCAGATTAGTCCGAAATTAAACTGAATCGATTGATTGAGTGTGGCCGTGAGGCTTTTGATGACTTGAAAACATTAGTCATTGTCGATGGCAGTACTAGAGGGTTAGTAATTTGTAATGAAGAGGAGCAACCCACAGTGGAGGAAGAGACCAGCAATCCAGCACCATCCAGTTGGGGAAGAAAAGGGATTAGAAATAAACGGCGCCAATCTGAAATTTGAACTCGGGGACGACACCGTTTCAACATGGAATTACTGTAGTGAGCATATTACGTTTTTGAAAGCCAAACACGTTTTATTTTATATATTTAGCAAACGTAAGAGAAGGAAGAAATTAAGTGAAAAGTTGTCAGAAGTTCGTACCTCCTCCTTCTTCCCCATTTCTCTGTAATCTCTCTCTTTTCTTTTATATCACTTTTGGTTCAATCAATATAATTATCAGTTGGGTTGTTAAATCCTAGCTAAGTATCCTTTCCTTATGAGTTTATTGTAGTGATTTGGTTGGTTTTGGTTGAGGTAGCTCAACCATTACAAGTGGTATCAGAGCAGCTACAGATCGGAGCATGGATACTCGGGCTAAACTCGTAGATGAGCACTTTAAAAAGTTGGATAGAGATGTTGAAGGTCTGATCGAGGGCCTCCAGGCAGTGAAGGAAAAAGGGGAACTTACAGAGCAAACATTGAAGACTCTGTGTGCCAAACAAGACCGTATGGAAGAGACATTGAATTCTAAACATGAGTCGTTGGTGACCATGATAGCCCAACTGATGGGGCAACAGGGGGAACCTAGAGACACGCAGAAGGTTATTTCTCCAACCCCAATTCGTCTTAGTGAATGAATACTGACCCCACGTCCAGGATCAACATCTAGGGGTAGTTCTAATGGGAGTGAATTGCATAAGGGAGTTAGGTTACCTAAGATCGATTTTCCCTATTTTAATGGTGAAGGGCCTCGAGAGTGGTTAAGGAAGGCTCGAAAATATTTTCAGATTCACCAAATCCAGGATGAAGTGAAGGTATGAGGAGCTGAGATGTACCTGAAGGGGAAGGCCGATGTGTTGTTTCATGGCTTCATTGCAAGTAATCCCAACGCTAGCTGGGAACTGTTCGCGACGGAGGTGTGTATGAGATTTGCTGAAAGTACCGGAGAAGAAGCCATTGAGGCCTTCAGTAAAATTCGACAAAGAAGTTCGGCGGCTGAATACCAGGAACTATTTGAAGACCTGAAATCCCAGGTTATGCTTTCATTACCTCACCTTCCGGAATCATATTATATTTCTATATTCACCGGTGGATTGAAGGAAGAGATTAAATCCATGGTTAAGATTGTGAGGCTAAACTCTGTATCCCAAGCATTTGAGATAGCCCTACTAGAAGAAAACACCATTACAGCCTTGAACAAAACCTCCAAATCCTAAGCCAAACCTACTTACCAACCCAAATGGTCCAACATACCTCAGAAACCTCCTGAAAATACTTCCAAATACCTACCAAACACCACTCAGGAAACAAGCCAAAAAATCCAAACCCACCAATTGAAATTTAAAACTATAACCCCTACTAACATTCAGACAAAGAGGAGTTTGGGATTATGCTTTAGATGCGATGAAAAGTATACACCTGGGGCACATTTGCAAGAATAAGATGTTAAACTTTATACTAATAGAGGAAGAGGAGGTGATGGATCCTGATGGAGAAGGGAAAGTTATATCAGACACTGGTGAAGGTGAGGAAGAAGAGGAAATTATGGAGATTTCCATTAATGTTCTTTCTGGGATCCTCAAGCCTAAAATCATTAGAATACCGAGAAGGGTGAAAAGGAGGAAAGTATCTATCCTCATCGATAGTGGCAGCACCCATAGTTTTATTGATGAAAAACCGATAGAAGAGCTGAAATGCAAGGTTGAAACCACCCAGCCTGTGACAGTGACTGTAGCTAATGGGTATAAGTTGAAGAGCAATGCTATATGTAACCCATTAACCTGGACCATGCAAGGAATGAGTGTCAGTTCCA